AGAATAGTATGTGAGGGAGGAAGATTGGAAAAAGCTAAGGAACAATACCTTTACTCAATGAAACTCTTCTTGATTGAGCATTGCACTACTGCTTGACAGGTTGCTGAGAGCTAGTTCAACAGTACCATTCATGGACGGGTGTTTCGCGGTTGGAGGATTCTTATCCAGGAGGCCCGTGAGCGCATTCGGGATTGCATGTCCACTCTTGCTGACCGCGCTCATGCCCATAGTAATTCTGCTCTCCTTCATTACATTTTATTCATTAGGAGCACATACAGTCAACTGCAACCCATCTCGCAAGGTAAAACGCGTAAAATCACCAGTGATGCAGTTTTTTGGTGCAAAAGCTCGCATTAAAAGATGCACGCTACCGTAATCCTAAATTCGTACGCCGAGTTTTGAAACTTTCTTCTTGTTACGAGTTTTGCCTCGGTGTTTCTGTTGTTTTTCGTATTTTTTTCCTTCGCATTGATGATATTACTACTGGGAGATGCGAAAAAGCGATTTGTGAGCCAGGGTTGCACAGAGACCGCAGGGCGGTGTGACTGTCAGAAAGCGATTTTGTTTATAGTGTTCTTAAGGATTCTTCTTGCTTCTTTTCAATATTTAGGGATTACTTATCAGTAGTGGTTTAATTGAACAGCAACTATCCATGACAATCAATCGCGCGAACTGTCTCTGAATACAGTGAAAAATTCTGATCTTGACTTCACTCGCCTTGGGACCTTACGCTCAATGACTTCGTGTTGTTTGTAACGCGCTAGAGGAGGCAGTGTAGTGTAAGTGGGGCCGCTTACCACACGCTTGGTCCTGTAGTCTAATTTCGGCCCAACCGGGCCTTCTATCCTTCAGAATCGGTTGATAATTGGCTTTCTCGGTAGTGGTTTCTACATCGTTTGATCTCCAGAAGCCATGAAGTGGGCCGAATCTCGTTCTGAATGCTTGAATGGGAATAGGTTGCATGGCGCACCCCAAAAGCCGGTTACCCTACTCCAAAATTTTTTATTTTTTTGTTTTGTTACAAGCCACGGCAGAGGTCAACTCGGAGTTCACACATGATCCAATCTGATAATAACAAATTTTCTTGCGTTCGAAATTCTCCGAGAGTTCCACAAAATTTTGAATGAGAAAGGCAGTCTATTTTTGTCTTTCAGTAGAATTTTTTCCAAGATAAGGTACGCGCTCTTATATTGGCTGGGGAGATATACAACAGATATACAACGCTTGGACAACATATCTGTTCTCTGTTCGTAGATCTTGCCCATTTATTCCGAATCGAGAGAGGGGGGATGCTAATTAGTAAATAGCGCCGCTTAAGCGCGGTCCGCAGGTTTAACCTCGGGTTAGCTTCCAAATAATAGACCAACCAAGCCTTCCATAACTCCGAGGCCAGTAAATTGGTGCCAGTTCCGTCTCGGAGTGAAAACACTGGCTAGCACATCGGTTAGCCCATGTAGCCATTGCATAGGTATATCGCATTCAATGAGCCACCACGATTCTGAAAGGAGGTGGAATGTGTTCTCAAAAAGGATCGGTCAGCGACAGAAAACTCATGTTTCGCTGCTTGCATTTATCTTCCTTTTCTGCCTGCCTTTGTATGGGATCCTTATTTGCAGAAAATGGGTGAGACGATTTGAAAACTGTGGGGAACTTCTACTACTCCTCACAGTACTCCGATCATCACGTAGTCAAGTTCCTGTTGCAGACTTGTAGAACAAGACAGTCTATCTGATTTAAGATTGGACGCTGCCAAAGCATATAGTATACTATAATAACTGATGTGTGAAATATAATTTTTAGTACGTGGGTAGCATGGAGATCCCACGACCTGGCACGAGAATCGAAATTGTCGCTGCGATGCGGCGAGTTAGGGTACGTCTTTTTTTACGTGCTCAAAGGTACTGAAGCACGTTTTCATCACTTCTCATGTCTAATTGTTGTATTTCAGTACGAGTTCAAAGCCCGGGGCATTAAAAAGCGACCGGTCGATATCACGGTTTCCGTGGATGGGGTCAAGGTCGTTCTACAGAGAAAAAAGGTCAACATTTTTTTTCAATACTGTCTTTTTGAACAACCTACTCTTTTCGGCATATCTTCGTTTTTTTCGTGGTGCTTATTATTTGTAGAAAATAGGGTAATTTTTCAGCAAAAGCAAAAAGGTCTCTCGTGGGACGAATCGAAGTTGCTTGTGATGTTTCACCCCATATATAGGTAACTTGTTTGCAAAAATTGCATTTTTTCCATGATTCGATGTCTTACATTTGGAGTCACCTTCTTCATGCTTTGCCCGCATTCAGTGCTTATCGATCGAATAATGGATCGCTGGTAGAATTTCCTTCCATTTAATTTCTTTTTCGGAAACTCTTACACGCGTTCAACCTACACTTCTCTCTTACCACATTCCGAACATCTCACATTCACACACTCAATTAACATAACTCTTGGCAACCTGCTTACAGACTGAATCACCCCAGCTAGTATATATTGTCTGCGTCTTGTTTGTGTTGTTTTGTTTTGTTGTTAAGGCGTACTAGTTCACACGCATCTTGGAGCTTATCCAAGCCAAGTGGCCCTCAGCTGGTGTTGAGTAGTTCTCGCAGTCACTGCCGTGCAGCCGAGGCAACGTAAAACCACGTTCAAAATCCGTTTCGGATTCTACAGGCAGACGTGGAGCGGTAAGCAACATACCTTAATGCTTTCGCTTGGGTACGTAGGAGTCGTAAGCGCAAGGGCTCAAGCCAGAAGGGCAAAAGAGGTAATACCGAGATGTCGTACACTCACTGATTGGTAAAAGATTGAAGGATTGTTCTTGCTGTGAAGAATACCTGGAGGATACCCGATGACTGTGGAGAATTACCTGGAAGGATACTCCGAATACCGCTCCTGTGAGGATACCCGAAGAGTGTAAGGGAAAGCTACAAGCTCAGAAGTGGGAAAACGGTAATGACAGAGTAAGTACGTGTAAGCGGCAACGATGACTTCGATTGACAAAAAGCAGACGAAAGTACACTTGCGGAACCTTTCTAACCATAGGAGAACACCTGCTCGCATGAGAAAGCCTTGCTAGAAGTCACACCTTCCCAACACTCCTGCGTGGGAGTCAGATGCATGGCGCAGTACAGGTGAAATGTTGATCGGCTCCGATTAGGATATTTCCTTATATTTCCGACGGAAATTCGTGTTCTGGAAAATCATTCAAGTCTTCAAACGAACTGGAAATGGTACTGCGCCGGAGGTGTGGTTTTTTCGCGAAACTTGTCACAGCAAAAACACAACAGGGTATATGTCCTAAGGCATGCTCACTGTGAAGTGGTGAGGCAGAACGGCAGGAGTCTATGCGCCTTGCTGCTGATATAGTGCCTCAAACGGCTACACTGTACCGAGAATCGCAGACGAACTCACACGGAACACTGAAGCATCCCGCGCCAAAATAAAATCCCCCTATGTATATCAAAGATGTCTTCATCGTGCGCAGCTAGGCGACGATGTCTGTTAGTGAGTATTACTAAGAGCTATCGAGTGCAACTCGTGCGAAATAGACTTTGACAGGCAGTGCATATCAGAGAATTGCGTCATATGCCCGCATGATTTGGGCTGAAAGTGGCGTGATCTGCCAAATTGAATGTCAGAAATGTTACGCAACTTACATCGGGGGAAACTAGGAAGAGCGCTAGCTATACGTATCAAAGAGCATCTTGCTGGTAAAAGGTGCGGCAATGCGGAAACACCTCTCGGCAGGCATTTGATCGAGGAGCACAGTGGAAACGACTTTGAAGTGCGGAATTATAGCATACGAAACTGAAATTTCGGCTAGAAAAGCGCTAGAAGCATTCTGAATCTCTGCGAGATGAACAACCGTAACGAGTGTCTGTCCATTACAAATGACCTTTTGCCATTTATGCCACATTGCGAGCTACTGATGTGAACAGTGAGACGTGTAATTCCCAACTATTCTTACTGTATAGGACGCACAATACTCTCATTTACTACAACTAACATCGGGTGGTGTCGTTTCGCTCACGTGGTGGCGGACTGGTAAGGCCGTTTCTTCCACTCGGGTCCTTCGGTGGTTCTGCTGATATTCTGTCAAAAACGCTAGGGAACTTTACAACTTTACAAGAATGCTAAGGTTTTATCAAGAGAGAAGTTGGACACTGTTGAACAACACACAACAGATTTTTTTTGTATAGTGGGCATGAGGGAAATCGAGGTGCTTTTCAGAAAGGGTAAGTCCTCTAGATTTTGACACAGCTCCTAGTTTCTTAAGAGATCATATGTGAAGGAGGAAATTATGGCTGTTCAAAGCAAGGAAACTTGTAGGTTACACCAAAATGTCACGACAGCGTCACAACGAGGAAATTTCTTTGAAAAGGAGGTGTTAAAAATTGGTTGAGCGAAAACCTAGAGCTTCACAACCGTATGTTTCCCCTCTTCA